AGAGAGAGAGAGAGAGAGAGAGAGAGAGACAGAGAATGTGCGCATATACAGTTTGGATTGTCTGCAATAGAGAAAGAAAGATTGGTGAATTGTTACCTTCATTCAGCAGATCATAACTCAGAACACTTTACGCTACACTGCATCTAAATGCAAATATACAACCATTATTATTATTAATAGTAATAATAAAACAGTTTGTATAGATATACAGAGGTGAAAAATTAATGCATATATCAAACATGCTGGTTTTAATACTTTTCCACTGGGTGAAAGTAATTATTGCAGACCGAAAGTTGCATTTTGCAGACATGTTAATAAGAACAACACTGAACTCCAGACCTAAAAAAAAAAACTAAATAAATAAATAAGTTAAAAATAAATTAATAAATAACTTCAAAATAAATTAATAAAAAACTTCAAAATGAAAAAAAAAACCTAAAATAAAAATAAAATGTAAAAATAACAAATAACAATAACTTAAAATAAATAAAAAATAACTTAAAAACAAATAAGTTATAAATAATAAAATATCAAATAAACGGAATAAAATAACTTAAAAAATAAATAAAAAAAAAAATCACAAAAAATCACTGAAAATCACTTAAAAATTTACCAATAAAGTAAAAATAACAAGTAAAGAAATACATACACAATGAAACACCTGAACAATCACGAGGAAACCAAATAACAAATTAAAACTTAAGTAAAAACAAAAAAGACAATTTAAAAGCACAAAAATAGTAAGTTATATGTGATCTGTGGTGTATTATCCCTCTATAGACGCTGACACAGTGCTGATGAAGCGTGCAGGTTAATGGTGTGTTTCTAAAGCCACGCTGTCACGCAGATGAAAACGAGATATGACTCTCATTTCTGCTCATTTTGGACAGACTGCTCATCAGAACACACGAATGAAGCTGGACAAACATCAACAGTTTCTGCTTCATAAGCCATTTAGACTATAAACAAATATGCAATTGAATCATCTTGACAGCATGTTTAATATTGATACTGAAATAAGGATTTCGTTCTCATATTTACGAAACATCACCACCAGTACTGTGAAAAGCATGCGTTACTGTAAAACAGCAGCAGCACTTGGTGTACAGAACAGCAACGGTCTCCTGAAGAAGGAATCGTTTACATAGACAAGTCAACTATTAACCTTAAAATATCAGTTACCAGATCTTCTAGCTTGTAGAAGTTGCTTAAGAAAAAGTTTCATTAAAAATGAGAGTACACTGCTGTTTAAAAGTTTGGGGTTGGTACATTTTTTTAAATGTTTTTAAGGGAAGTCTCTTCTGCTCACCAAGGCTGCATTTGTTTGATGCAAAATACAGTTAAAACAGTGATACTGTGAAACATTATTACATTTTAAAATAACTGTTTTCCATTGGAATATATTTTAATGTCATTTATTTGCGAGTCAAAGCTGAATTTTCAGCATCATTACTCCAGTCTTCAGCGTCACATGATCTTCAGAAATCATTCTAATATGCTGATTTGCTGCTCAAGAAACATTTCTGATTATTGTTATCAGTGTTGAAAACAGTTGTGCTGCTTCATATTTTTGTGAAAACGGATGAATTGTTTCAGCATTTATTCGAAAAACAAAATCTTTTGTAACATTATAAATGACTTTAGTCACTTTTGATCAATTTAATGTGTTCTTGCTCAACAAAAGTATTAATTTCTCTAAAAAAAAAAATTATTTGCTGACCCCAGATGGTAGTGTAGTTTTATTATTTTATAACATTTTTTACACAATGATAATAGAAAGCTACAGTGGAGAGGATGAATTATTTGTTCTTTAAATAAAATGAAAGCCAAACAGCAGCACTGATAAAGGTCCAATGAATCTTTTATTTGTAAGGCACCATAAATACTTCCTTACTGCTCAATCTCTCATAGTAAATGTTTTAACCTTTTTTCTTCCCACAATCATCTTTAAATGAAGTTAGAATAGCACAAACAACATACATTTCCACCAAGAACATCATGTTACATACAACACACACGCACATTTTAAAAAACTACTACAAAGCTTCAAAATGTGGCAAATATCAGAACTGTCAGAAGAGGGAGGCTTCAGGAATCGTTACGT